GGATCGTCTATTTGTTAACACGCAGTGTTAACGTTTTTTCCTTCTCGTCGTGTGAAATTGCCTCCGAACATGTGCTTTTTAAACGGACCCGTTTCTGCCAGACAGTAGGGGGGCGGGCGCGTCATGGTTCAACACCACCTGTTGAGCAGCTCCACACCCACGCCCGGGTACCAAAGCAACAATATGCTATATTCACTTAAGCTCCGATATGGGAGAGCGTATGGGAGAGCGTAAAGCGTAAGCGTAAAGCGCAGCGGCTGGGCGTAAATGAGCGGAGTGGGGGTACGCGCCCTAACCTCATCTTGGCTCATTTTTGGTTTTGACGAGTGTTGAAATGCATTTTCTGGTGTTGTCATGCATTCGGACTACGTTGCGGTGATAATATGACCATTTTAAAGAAGATGTCATACAAAATTTGTGCCAATGTAAGGTTAGGTCGCTACCTGAGCGCTACGCTTTCACGCTTACGCTTACGCTCTCCCATACGCTCTCCCATATCGAAGCTTAAGTGAATAGGCTATTCCGCTCGACGCGGTAAGAAGAACACAAGAATCAAAAAGCCGCGGGTGGGGGTAGCGAGGCGGCTTCCCCACCTGCCCGCGCTCCCCCGCGCTGCTCCCACCACCCTCGTCTTTTGTGATTCTTGTGTTCTTCTTACCGCGTCGAGCGGAATAGCCTATATAGCAATAGACACCTTGCTCTCTGAGTAGTCGGCCCCCCGCGCGCGCTGCCCAGCGCCCACGCCAAAAATTGTGTTCAATTACAGGGTTCATACCGGTCAGGGAAATCAGGGAAGTCAGGGATAAGTCAGGGAAAATAATATTGTACTGGAAATCAGGGAAAAGTCAGGGAAATCTGATAAAAAGTCAGGGAAAAATTAAGAAATATGGTAGTTTGTGCGACGAGCATAGCATCGTGAACGCATGGGCCAATTGAGGGACTTGTGGCGGCCAAGGGGCACCTCTGCTCTGCCGCCGACAGGCCCACCCGGCCCACCCCGACCTGCGCCGCAGTGTTGCCGCCGAGAAATTCCGGGAACTGCAGCGGCCCGCCGGCCGGCGGCGGGGAGGGGAGGGGAGGGGGCGCGCCCGAGGAGAACTCAGGTCAGTCAATCAGTCGTGTCGTTTCCGTCACTCGTCACTGAAGCGCCCGTGCGTCTCTTCTGCTCGGAGCTACAGAGCTTCTACCCGCCGGCCACACGTGCTTGTGTTCCTGGTCGCCGGTTGCGTGCTCGCTGCGCCTACCTAGAGTCCTATATGGGGGAGAGACCCGCGAACGGATACAAAATGGTGGCGGGCGGAGCCCCGTCCT